TTTTTTTTTTTTTTCCTTTCAAGGAAACTAACAGATGCGGCTCGGCTGACTTTGCGCAGAAATATCTGAAAATGAGAAAAATTGCATTGTAGTTCAAGTTGATTAGACGAATAAATTAGGATAAATCGGTGGCACGATTTCGAAGGCACTATTTTTTAGGTGGCCCATATGAGGGGGTGGCCCACATCTATGTGCAGGGACTTATCACTAACGTATTGCATTACATTTATTTCTAATTTCAGAATGTACCACACCAGCCTAACCAGGTACAGATCGCAACGTATCGCAAAATAATGGAAGTGAAGCAGCTTCATTATGCCATTGCCCTATTGGACTTTCTCCACCGGGCTTAATAAAATGAATGAATGAATGAATGAATACTATTGTTTCCATGAGCTCTTTCGCTGATCTTGCGTTTTACAGAGACTACAATTTTTTGCTCGCACATTTGGTTGAGGCATCTCATGCTTACATATTACCGGATCACTTCTAGCTTAATCGTATTCCACCGAGAAAACTCCAGATCTTTAATACCTTTGAAATGCTGCTGCCTTACGTACTATCGGGTAGTACGTACGTGTACGGCCTATCTCCAATTCACGACTGCAAGTTGATTCTAGAACATTCTGTGGAGGCTTATTAGAAATATATAAGGCACCGGAATTATATCACGGTGTATGTAGACTTCGTTTTCTTCTTCATCTCGATTGTAGGGACTAGTTAGTTGAATCAATTCACTAGAAGCCTTTCACACATCGACTGTCCCCGCCGCTTAGGCAGCTATACGTCGCTCAACTAAACAACAAGAGTGTCCATTTCTTGCTTCCAAGAATTAAGCCGTTCCTGGTACGAACTGCTTTCCCCTTCCGCTCGAACGCGGTCTACCTGATATGGATAGTCTTGATGGCTGTTCTGTGTTAATATCTGGGAACCTGTCAGGCCCTTCCCGGTCTTTCTCCTCTTCTGTATACCAATAATCACTCGTCTACGTTAAATATGCACAAGGGCGCTCCAATATTAAATATTTACGCAGTAAATTGTGTGTGTGTGTGTGTGTGTACTTGGGGCCGGAAGAAAGCTGTAACCCCTTCTGTGGAGTTATATTTCGCTTCTTGTTGGGCCAGCTCTGATGTTATCAACCGATGTTGATTTTGAAGCCACTCACGGACTGTAGTGCCGAATAACGGCTTCCGTGGACCTGCGCCTTCGATCGCCTGGTTCAGATCCAGAACTTCATCATCAGTGGGCAGTTGCAAAGGTGGCGGGCACCATGCCACAATTGAAGGATACGTAATGCTTCTGGGGTATTCAAAGCCGCCTTTGTCTCCTCCCGGAAGTCGACGAAGAAACTGGGCGATTTGTAGACTGCCAGTAAGAAGGGCAATACTGAGCGCCGTGTATCCGTTCGTGTCTCTGGCGGATAGTTGGAGTTCCACCCCAGGTGGACGAGTTACATGCCCGCTTGGGGAACTAGCCCTATTACCTCCGCAATGCTCGCGGGCGCTTTTGCACGCATTCACCAAAAGCGTCAGCACGTCAAGCTGGCCGGTGTATGCTGCGACGTGAGCTGGCGTCAGTCCATCGCAGCTTCTACTGGCGGTGTTCACATCTTGTTGCAACAACACTCGCACAAGGTCCACACGGCGGGCTCCAACGGCGTAATGCAGCGCGGTCTGGCCACAATAGTCCTTAATATTCAGCAGGGTGGAATCGAGGCGAACGAGGTCGGTGAGTGTTGGTATCTCGCCGTACACGGCACACCAATGCAGCACTCCACGCCCGTAATAGTCCTTGGCGTGGAGATTTGCCCCCACTGGTTTCGCGGAGAGATACTTCACCATCCACGACCCGACTTCGTGGTCCCATAATCGTTTTGCCGCCAGCAGTAACGGAGTCCAGCCGCAAAACTTAGTCTCGATGTCTGCGCCATTGTCAACGAGCAGGCCAACAAGATCACAATAACCCCCCTCAACTGCGACGTGCAACGCGGTGCGACCACTGCTGTCCTTCGCGTCAATCGTTGCGCCGTTGTCAAGGAGCAATTTGGCTATGTCGGTGTCATTGAACCAAGATGCAAGTGTTAGAGCAGTCGCTCCGCCCACTGGGTCCAACTCGTCAATGTCTGCGCCGACGTCAAGCATGGCCTGTAGCCGAGCAGTGTGCTTGCTGTTCACGAACGATCGCAGGCCACTCACACCTTCGCTTCCCGTGGATTTGCGTTGCGACATCTCTTCCAAGATGCATCTCGCATGCTCGTTATTGACTAGTCTTGGTGTCGCAACCACAGAATTGTTCGCCATCTTGTCTCTTAGAATAGCCATGGCTGTCGCATGCCCATTGATTACCGCAACGTCCAATGGTGTCCAGCCGTCGATGTCTCTAGTGATTATATTGGCTCCTTCGTCTAGGATATGGAGCAATATCGACTCGTTACCTTTTGCTGCGGCACCATGCAGCGCTGTCCAGCCATTCTCGTCCTGGATGTCCACATTGGCCCTGCCCAACGTCAGCAGTCTCAAGGTAGTTTCTTCTTGAGATGCCAAAACACTGCACATCAAGCTTGTCTTGCCTGTACTATTTTGGGCATCTACATCGGCGTTTTGTTTGATAAGGATATTTGCGATGGAAGGGTAGGTACTAGCCCAGTGTAATGGTGTATTGCCATATTTGTCTTTCGAATTCGGCTCGCCTGCCCTATCGAGAAGGAGCTCGACGGTCGACTGATGTCCACATGACACCGCCCAATGAAGCGGAGTGTTATTTCGTTCGTCTCTACAATTAACGTCTCCTCCCGCTGCCAACAACATTCGTAATGCTGCGTCGTTACCTGACTCCGCTGCGAGCAGCAACAGCTTGTTCTGCTGGACCAAGGACCCTTGGAAGTAATCGTGATGCGATAGCAAAAGCTCAACTACCCTGTCCTGGCCTTGCATGATAGCCCAGTCAACCCCCCTCCAGCCCTCTGCGTCTGTACTCAATGTGTTTGTCTCGTTAGATATAAGTTGCTTGACGAGACAACAGTGGCCATTTCTTGCGGCCCACAAGAACGCTGTCTCTCCTCGATACGTGGGTAAGTCTACCGCTGCGCGATGCTGGAGCAGAATACTTGCAGCCTTGTAATGACCATTTTGCGAGGCTATCACCAAAGCAGATCTTCCACAACCGTCTCTGTGGTCGATTGATATCCCTGGAAAGTCAAGCAGAGCTTGCACTACACAAATGTATCCCATTTCCGCCGCTAGATGCAATGGAGTCCGACCAACCTCATCTGTGACGTTTACATCGGGCACGGCGGATTGTAACGCTAATTGTTCGATGTCTTGGGCACGGTGTATTTGAGATAGCTCGAGGAGTGGGTTCTTGGAGGATCTCAACACGCGGCGACGGAAATAATCTGCCACGATGTAACGCAGGTGGTGGTGATCGCATGCTTGCTCCAAGATGTCCAATTCTGTGAGAGTCAAATCTTCGAATATATAGGACAGCACTTCCACCGGCGTATAGCTCAGTCCTGCCTTCGGCGTCATCAAGGCTGTGAGGTCAATCATCCACCGCCTCGACGAGGTGCGGGCGTTCTCATTTTTATCTGTCGTGTGATAGATATTCACAAGCAATAGCTCGTGCAAGGATGAAGAAAGCAGCAATATAATGACATCACGAATTGTGATCAAACGTAAAATGCTATTACACCTTGGCCGCTGTGCGTACGGATTTATGTCTGACAATTTTTGGTGCAGGAGCTACAGAACTGTGCCCCATGTGCTTCTCGAATAAAGATTACCGTCGTGGCCCGTCATATCTTCAAACTCCCGAACGATTGCTGTGTTTGTTCATGCTCATGGTATACGGGGCTAACCAACATGTCTTGGGCAAATAATGCACCCTCCCGAAGTCCCCCGTTCTGGAGGAGCTTGTCTGGACCGTGGAGACGCCAGCGTAAATTTGGAGGATGCTCCAATTGTTCTCTTACCGAGTCAACCAGAAGTTCAAAACCTCACATGTTGCACAATGCAACTGGCAGTGTTGCATTCAATACTCAATACTCAATATGACCCCGTATTAAAAAGGTTCAATATTGAAGAAGTCCGTATTGAGTATTGAATATGGAGTATTGAGTATTGAATTATTGAGAAATATTGAGGATATTGAGAAAACATGGATTACTAAGCCCAAAATTCTCGATTCTCGATCTCCATGGACTACCCGACGGGTCGAGTAGTAGAAGCTCAAAGTCGTGAGCTATACAACCCGCCTCTTACTGCCACGCCTGGCCTCTAATTTGCCGCAGAAGTTTAAGCTATAGTCATATAATTCTCAGGAAGGCGACCATATCTGTATTGCGCTCACTCATAGCTAAGTTTGGTTGATTCATTATGGTTTTCAATATTCTCAATATCTTCAATATTCCTCAATAATGAAGACCCCATATTGAAGAGTCAATATTGAGAAAATCAATATCCTTAATATGTATTGAGAATATTGACAGGGGTTATTCAATACCGAATGCATCACTGATCTAGAGAAGCCTCAGAGTCGGAGAATGGTTGTGCTACTTTCGACGCTCCAGGTGGAATCAACTTGATTAGTTGTGACGAGGAACCAGGGGTCTGGAAGTGGTTGACCAGATTTCTGGCCCCAATTGAACAGGTAGCAAACTCGGTCGGACTATTCTCAAAGCGTAAAGCCTCGCGGCACAGCCACTTGGCTGATGTAATATCTGGCCTGGTTCATGTCGAGAGCAGAGCGTACGTCTACCTTGATGGCTTTCCAGCAATGCAAAAGCAAGGGATGCGTGTGGTGGTAGATTCTAAGGCAGGTCTAGTCGTGGTTTCGCACCTAGTTGTGCCCGACAGGGCATGCCACGTAACGATAACGTTTGATTCATCTACTACTGTGGAGGGGCAGTGTCTGTTTTGGCACCCGCATCACTGTTATGTTTTTATCAAATATGACACTACGCTTGTGCCGCAAGCCGTTCCCTCTGTAAGACTGAGCGCACGCAGAGTGGGCTAGGGGGAAGAGGTAAAATTTGTGCGCTTCAATCAACCCGGCCAAATTTTGTGCGGTGATTCTAGGGTTGGAAAGGTCACAATAAGCGGTCCGGAGACAGCGAGTGAGAGTGTTAACACCTACATCAGATACCGTCCGATAAATGCGGACATTGGCAATATTGATGCTCCGTCAGCAGCAAGAGGTACCAATGGGGTCCTAGTAGCAGCTGACGGATCCGTCCTGGCGATATGGCTGCATTTCCTCGGCGGCATCACGACGCCTAGCCTCTCTGCAGCATTGTTAAGCCTACAAAATGGTCACATCCCGTCATCGCCAATCTTTCCCGCCGAGTTTGAAGGAGTATCAATCGCCACCGCGCGAGCAATGGGCGTCCCGGAAGATGTATCTACCACGATGGGCGTAGCTGAGAATCATGATCCTCGGGTATACAGTATCACGTTGATAGCTATGGAAGCAATTGAACAGTGGATAGATCCTTGGATTGAAGCTATCTAGGGAGGGAAAACAAGCCCTATTTATGGTTATCTAGCAGGTCTCCTAGAAAGTCATCCATTGAGGGATTTTGCTATTGAAGGCCCGGCTCCAATGGGGTCGTGGCGTGAGCATTTTGGAGGCTTTTGGTGGCTTTATTTTGACAATCATAGCGAGGCTTTTCAGGGTCTTTCGGCGATACCGATGAATAGCAGCCTTTTTCCATTGAAAGTGGCCTTTGGCGTTGACATACAGGGTGAAGAAAACCACCTGCGGCCTTGGAAGTGCTCTTCTCGAGGACGACATTGTCATTTCAATAGACGGCAAATTCTGCACGAACTGGGCTGACTTCGGTGTTACATCCTAGAGCGACATGCGAGCCGTAATTATGAGGCAGGGTTCGATTAAGGCTTTGGATATACATACTACCCATGTGGACACTTTGGAAACCGACAGGTGTATCGAATTCTGCGGCGCTTATATTCAACGGCCGCATCTTGCTGTCCGTCATTGCCTCGACGCACTTCCCAGTGAAGTGTATGTGACCTTTGTTATCCCAGGCTCTCCAGCAGATCGCTACTCGCTCCCGTCCCAGTCGCTTGTCACAATGATTAATGGAAGACCTGTGGGCGACTTCGATTCCTTTGTAGATGTAGCGAGGTGTCTGTCGGAAGATCGGACAGGTGCGGTATTCACGGTCATGGCTACCACGATAACCGGGACAGTAGTTAAGCTTGCGATAAGACAGAACAACGATTTTAATACTTCCCACTTGTTGAATGGAGTATGAAAAGTAACTATGGTGGTGCTTTACGGGAGCGTCTGGAGAGCAGGATCGTGGCGCGGTCACCGCTAGGGGTTTACTGTGCTTAGTCAGGACAGCTGGAAGCATGATGAAAGCCAAGCCAGAAAGAGAAAGAGAAATGCCTCCAAATAAATTCTATATAACAATCAATAGTTGGACGGCAACTACTGTATTATGCTTACCGAATCGGGTGAATAACTTTGGTTCCAGGGCCTCTATGTTTATGTAACGGCTAAGGTTCCCAGATATAACAATGAATAGTTGGACGGCAGCTACTGTATTATGCGTATCCACCTCGCCAAAAACTTTTTTGGGCGGGGTGGAGAAGAGCTTCCCTGGCTACATATATGGGCAGTCAATCTGAGCGGTTGGTTGACCTGAAACATGTAATCAACAAGATTGAAATACGTTAGTGGAGTGCAATCGAGTCAATAGTATTAGTAGCAGCCTTTCAAAGACGTAGCACCAGCATCCTTAACATATATATGCCAGTGGCATAACCATGGAACTCGCGGCCCGTTAAGACATGAGCGGATTTGGGGTCCCTATATACAGAGTGATCGTTCCTTCCTGGGGCGACTCCTGATCGTGAGTCGTCCTGATCGCAAGGCGACTCTTGCGATCACCTTTCTGTGTGCGCTCCGACCATTTTCCGACATGGGCCTTGTCCCTCCGTGGGGTGGCTCATGCAGTCGGCCCATTATGCAACCTACACTGCAGCCTGCGGCTGGGTCGTAACAGTTTACCTGGTCCACAAAAGCCCCTATTCCGAAACCTCGCGCAGCTAGTGAACCTCTGTTTGCGTATCCACCTCGCCAATTTTTTTTTTGGACCGGTACAGAAGAGCTTCCCTGGCTACATATGACAAAGACTGGGTAGATCCTGACATTGACCTGAAACATGTAATCAACAAGATTGAAATACGTTAGTGGAGTACAATCGAGTCAATAGTAGCAGCCTTTCAAAGACGTAGCACCAGCATCCTTAACATATATATGCCTGTGGTACAACCATGGAACTCGCGGCCCGTTAAGACATAGTGAAGCCGACACACTTAATATGTCTTTGCAGGTAGAACAGACGGATCGGGGCGTATGCCCAATCACTCTTGCTCGGAAACTGGCTCTAATTCGAATTGATCAAGAAAGCAAGAGGAACGGAGTCAAGCAAGTCTACGACCGCGTATTGGACGATTTCAAGATCGCTTTAACAGGCCGGAAGAGCCATGAGGAAGCCGTGCATATCATCAGTCATTATGTGACCGGCTTGGGCGCCGTGGAAAGTGGGAAGAGATGAGGCGACTCTATCAACGGGCTATGGGCGACCTTGGCAACACTTTTGGTCGCCACCACCACTCTACGCTTGCTATCACCTTCCGAATGGGACGGCTTCTCTGGCGAATACGTGAACCAGAAAAGGCCTAGAAGTTATATGCTCGATCATTGGAGGGAATGGACTACCGAAATCCATACAAGTTATTTTTCTCTAATGAGTTTGGAGTAGCGTACGCGGACTAATACTTGCTGCTGGAGGCCGAAAGGGAGTTTCGCAAAGCGCTGGGTGGTTTCAATGAAATATGGGGGTCGGATCATATGTGGACTCACTCAGCCGCCATCAAATTCAGCGACGTTTACCGGACTCAGGGCAGGCTGGGCGATGCAGCCATCATGCTTCGTATGAGGATGCTCGGCGTGGCGAAAATCCACGGGGCATCCCATCCAGTAGTTGTCTCCAAAGCGCCGAGATTCATAAACCTTTACGAACAATACATGGGGCAAGGCAGATGGGATGACGCGCGAGGCGTGTGCGAGATGGCCTTGACCACGTTCGAAGAGATTTTCGGACATAGTCACAAAGAGACACTTCACGTGGTGTGGGATTTGGCGCACATCTCAAAGGAACAAGGTAAACACAGAGAGTCCAAAAAACTGATGAAGAGGGCGATAGACGGACTGAAAGGATGATTTGTGTTTTATTTACGAAGTTGTGCGGTTGGGGTCTAATAGACGCTAAGAGTGAGCTTTCATCTGCAGAAGGAGATGTGCATGGTACATATACATCGCACCCATTGCCTTGTAACCATGCAATACTTTGAACGCCTTATGAAGTAACACATCGTCCTCGCACTTTTATTTAACCCCAGCCACAACGTGGCCGAAGGAAAGTGAGAAAATGACCATGTCAGCACATTCATTCGTAGGATGCGCCCAGATGCAAATAAAGAAGCTAAGTACTTTCTGCCCACGGGACGGAGGTTGTTTCTGAGTGACGGGTATGTACTGACAGGCCTGGTGGGCATTGGTAAGCGTCCCAAAGTGGTGCAAATATTCTAACAAGATGATTCAGGTAGTGAAGATGGTTGGCATGACAAATTCGCCGGGGTCTTGTTAGTTCCCGCACACGGGGGCGCCAGTAAGAAGCCATGCTGCGCTGTAGGGAAAGTTCAAACCTGGGTTTCTGCCCCTGTTTACATGTTCCAACATGTGTTTAATTGCTCGCACAACCCAGATGAAAGTGAGTTGCTTGAGACCGAGTGCTCTGTAGCACGTGGCCATTCCATTGACGAACTATCCGGCGCCTAGTTTCCGCACGGCGCATATGCAGTAGAGTCGCGTTTACAGCGATCTGCCTGATGGTCTTGCGATTCTAGGAAAGGATTACGATGGGAATATTGCCTGTTGGTTCGTCAAAGGGAAAAGTGATGCAGTACTGCAACGGGGTATGTAAATATCAATAAGTCAATTCAAGTCTATATTCTCTTAAAGGTAGGAAAAGGGGGGAGCGTTGATAGTCACGCTATCTATACATGGTGTCTCCCCCTATTACGGGTCTACACATGATGTTACACGTGATATTAATTTGTGAAAATTGCAACGTTGCCTAACTTCATCGACTAATTGCGGCCAGTGACTGAACGTCAATAAAGTCGTCAAGGGCGGGAAATTATGGATGGCGACATAACTGGGGGGAGTGGACCTGAGACAGTTATAGCCACTAGAATATGAACGTATGTAACAACACAACAGAGTTATGTAAACATAAGATTTCCATACAGGAAGTATGTATTCGGAGTCTGTGCTTGAAGTTGACAAGTGGTTCGCGGCTTCTGTTTGGATGATCGTCTTGGCTCACAACCAGGGGTAAATATGACTATTAAAACCAACAAGCGCCTTTGGCATGCTCAGATGCATCACTTTGTCATGTTCTACCTTCCAGTACTTTACTAGCTCAGGACGACAAAGATTGTTTTTCGTAAAGACTTGACTCATAATGACCAGGCTCCATTGATGCTGGCCATGTCGTCGTCAATTTTCTGACCACAGGAACCTACAGTTGTCTCAGGCCGCAAGGAAACAACGCTGGTGAGAGGACCGCCTCGGAGCTGAAGACAGCCTTCCGGGTCTACGATGCCGCAGAATTTCTCGAGATTCCTGCTCTTGGGAACCTGGCCATACGTGAGGTCAAAAGAATAGGTCCAGAAGTAGACATATTGTCAATTATACGCACCGTGGATAATCTTAGCCCCGCTGTCGCCTCGTACATCACGTCCCGAATGCAAGACTTCTGCGACACGTTGACTCCTGACTCAGCCGCCGGAGTCCTGATTAAAATGGCGTCTCCAAAGACTTTGAGCGAGCTCTTGTTTAAGATGGCGGTTGAAATGAGAGTCCACCAGCTGTCGCCAGAGAAGATATTACACGGGAGAATTGTGTCTATGGGAGCAACAGCGTCTGACATATTTGGACCGACTAGAAAAGGTATGGAAGCTCCATATGCTAAGGAAAAACACCTGCATTTTTGAGGGGTTTTTGTTCTCAATTCACAGAAGATGGTCAGCTCAGCTTTCCAGCCTCCACCTCTCCGCGTCTTTGGCTAGTGGCCGCTGATTGCCACGGCTGTACTTGTGGGCCCACGACAGCTACTGTGTCAGACAATTGAGGGTCACAAAAGATCGAGGGTAATGGCGCCGTAGGCGCCAATTGTATTGGGTGAGAATTATCTGAAGAACAAATGAAAGATGGAAATGAACGCGGTATTTATCTTGTGATCAGCTTCGCCGATTCGGCGAAGCTGTAACAAGGAGTCGTTTCTGATACCTGCAATACCACATCGCGTCATTGCAAAAAGCAACGACTTGCCCTGTTTTGAGGTCCTGATATCTGACATACTGTTTAACCCAAGAATTTCTAGCGCTTAAGGTTTCCGGGAACAACGACGCTCATTAAGCTCCTTCTGTTGTGGTTACAGCAAGGAGTGGTCCAAACTCGAATCCATCAAGACAAGGCGGCCCGATGAGAGATAAAAGAAAGACGTTAGGAATAGTTTGAGGCAAAGCACTCCTCCTCACCTACTGGGTAAGAACAATTCGGAGCGTGCACAACCTTGGCCCACTAGTTTGGGGCCAGATGAAACAGTGGTGACAAGCGTGGAGTTTTGCACATCGACCGGTGAAGCGTTCTACGAAGAGGCCTCGGGCGGCTCCAGTGACGAGACGATGACAATGAACCAAACTGCGTGGAGTGATCGAAGCTGTTGGAGACCAAGTACGGTTGAAAGGCTGTTTGAACTACCCAAAAGGAATAGAGATTAGTCAGTAATTTTCTGGGACACGGTAAATTTTTGGTAACTAATAGTTTGTACAATGTTGTCATTTTTACCTCACATGCTGCCTCTACCATATGTACAAAGTGAGCCCATCATCACTCCTGTTATGTACGCCTCAATGCCAGTATTTGTGATTAGCACTGTACAGTACAACTAGATGTAGACACACACATTACATGGTATTCGTCGCGAAGAAGTCTAATCTGGGTGCACCATCTTGTCGGATAATGCCTCTGTAGACTGAAGTCGCAGAGCTTGGTGTAATTGCTGGATGTCATAGCGTCGGCTATCATGACTAAACTTAGCCGAAAGTTAAATTCGGACGAAAGGAAGTTTTTTTTGGTATTAAAAAGAGAGCTGCAGACGGAGTCTGCAGCACTCGCAAGAACAACAATAATGATTTTATCAACAAGCTTAGTTAACATGAGTGTCATAACGTGATACATCTCACATATATTCGCTGTTGACCCGTAACTCGAGTGTACTTTGGGAACTCAGCTTATCCTAATATGGAACAGTGTTCGTATACAAGAGAATGTAGCCAACGCTGTATTCATTAGCCTCTATTGACCCTTTTCAGCGGTCATGCATCACCATGAGCGCATTATTCAGCATCTCCTTTGCCAATTGTATCGAAACATGCTTGAAGACTTCGATTCAGAACTAGAGAGGACTTGGGACGAAGTGATACAGAAGAGCTTTGACGAGGATGACCGGCCAGCCGCAATTGACATACAGCGCCACCCACTGATTGAAGCAGTCATTCAAGGAAACGTCTCCTCGGTACGTGAGATGATCTCAAACGGCCAGAACGTGAACGAGGTGGTGCAAGGCTTAGGCACACCGCTCATATGGGCCGCCATTCAAGGTCACGATGATATTGTGCACGAGTTGCTAGAGGCGGGGGCAGACGCCGACCTCAATGAGTATAGTGATGTTAATGCACGAGAAAACGCTATCGTCCTCCACATTGGACTGGTGGAAAGTTTGCAAGAGGAACTCGCGACCACCACGCTCGATTCAGTGAACGAGTCACTAGTCTGCAGGGCAATATGTGAGCACCGGCGAATTATCGGTCGACTGCAGGGTCGGTATGATGATTTCACTTCATATGGAAACACCGCTCTTATGTACGCAGCAATGAACGGACATGGTTCGATAGTCCGTGACCTCCTGCTTGTCGGCGCTGATGTGAACATGCTTGGATCCGACGGCCTCTCCGCCGTGTGGTATGCAGCCATTTTTCGCCACGTAGACGTATTGAAGGACCTGATATGTGCGGGGGCAATGGTTGGCGGAAGCTCTTCTATGCTTCACGTCTTGCCTTTCATTCCGGGGAGTATAGGTTGGATTGCTGCGTTTTTGGTAGGCTTCGACAATGTGTCGGCAGGGAAGCAGAATCCATGTAACGCAATCCGGGACCGCGGCTTGCGGCGAATGATGAGACGCTTTCCAAGGCTTTTAAAACAAAACATACAGCGAACGTTGCCAGCTCAACTTGCATGGCCGCCTATACCCAAACTTCTGAGAGCGATTCAATGCATACGGCTTTTCCTCAGAATGATCAATTGTGTCCCGGTCCCGCGGCTTGAAGCTCGTAACAGCCCGAACGATGCTGCCCAGCTAAGAGAGCTCCTATTCATGGTGGATGCAAGGACTGACAGTACGAATGACACACTTGTAGGCCATTTTCAAGCTCTGAATATACCTAATGAACTGGTATTGCTTGTTAGGGAGGCTTATCTCGAAAAAATATTAGTGCAAATATTGCAGGCGTGGTACGATATGGAAGTAAAATGCGCTTATGGGCTGATCGAAATAGTGAAGGATCCAAACCATGGCATAATGCGAATTCTCCAGTTTATAGACAGAGATAATATACAGCATTCTTCGTACATTGTTCCGTAAACATTCTCCAGCAATCAACGTGATATTCTGTACAAACCGTGGTAGTAATTTCATTCATTACGAGCCAGCATTTTCTGCGTTCATATGGCGACCCGCCTTAAAGTCAAGCCAGACTCATGCATCTCTACTAATCCTCAGACAACCGGTGGCACATCAGATGAAGTATTAAATACCATGCTTGCCTGGTAGGAACATTCTTAAAAGTGGCTTTGCAACGCAACAACAAATCCGGATCTTGGTCTAGCGGCTACGACGCAACTTGGGGTAATATTCTGACGCGCACATGGTACTATACTAATCAATATTACGCTATCAGTCCTATTCGAGATGACTATCTCTTCACGCAGACCGGCAACTGGATCCTCGGCAACCACGACGAAGAAGTATTTAAGTCACCTGAGTTGGAGAACGAAGACCATCTGATTTCTTTGCAGCCTCTCATCATGGAGCCACATGAGAGTGACAACTACAATGAAATAACAGGTCTTCTTGAGAAGCCTGAAAACCTTGATCTACTCGCACGAAAATCTGCTGAAGAGAGGCGCACATGGTTCAGAGGGTTTTTGGTGGCTGATAGACCTCTCGAGTTGTGTGAGTCACGAGTTCCGGAATCAGAGCCGGTGGAACGTGCGCTTCGCTTTTTTATGGCAAAGGCGGAGATCAGGGGATTGGAAAGACAGTTTGCTGAAGAAGCCAGGCGGGTGTTTTACGAAGAAAATACGATTGTCGTATGGTCTGGAGTTTTAGAGAGCTTCTTGGAAGGAAGTTACGGGGACAATGCAAGTGACATTCCGGTATGCGATCTTGTGCGGCAAACGACTATTAAATTCATTTCTTATGTGGAAGTCTTTGAATTTCTTGAAGACATCATTCGAAAACATCGTCCTTTTATGCAGGGCGTATCACTGAAAGTCGAGACCGATCGAGCAAGACATGGCACTGCTCCGGGGAAGTTGCGAATGTTGTGCGTTATCGTGAAGATCTTACTATTCGTTCTTTACCTTCTTATTGCATGGATGGTTCTCTCTTTGGTCCGACTGACGCAATGGATCGGAAGCATGTTGATTGGCCGCCACACATAAAACTTGAGCTGTAACGGGCGGAGCCTGATGGTGGCTCGGCTTGCGCTCTCGCCTCCGTCTCGGCCTGCTGGACCGAGGCTATCAGTAAGCAAGATTAGCGGCGTCGAGCTCAGGAGCTCTCCTTTTCGTTTTCTTCTTCTTCACCTTTGTATACTTGTTATAGTCGTCTAGCTAGTTGTCAATATACTCAGTCTGAAAAGTTGGACAAGATCATAGATTATGAAGCGCGACGATCGTACTTTATACAATTTTGGAGGTTTTGTAATGATTTATAAACGGTAAGAGTAATATTAGCGGTCAATATAACTGCGAGGTATTATTTGTGTTATGTCATTCGCCTCTAACTACATTGCAAGCCCTTTTGGGCAGAGTCATAAACAGAGGCCAGACTTCAACGAGAAATTGGAATGAAGGCCGGATTGTTTCTGTCGATCGGGAGTCCGTGGACCCTGGCCTTCTGTTCTTGTGTTGCTTTGAATTTCCCCACGATATATTTATCTCAATCAAAGACAACAAATGATAGAAGAGGACAAGAATAGACAAGACCTGACCAAAACTCCATTGTTTCTCTCCTTCGTCGCTGAGAATCACTGAAGGACTTCTGAAAGCCTGCGACAAGAGGCAGGTGCGCACCGCAGCTCCTATGGCTACGGCCGTCATGAGCAGGACACCCACTGTTTGCACCGCCCCGATGAGCCTCTGACGGCGACTATGCAAATACCATGTTGCTAAACCAAATACCACGCAATTTCCAATAATCACAGAAATGGTGCCAGCATAAGACAAGCCCTCAGACGACGGTGGTATGCTGCTTACCGTCCACCATGCACAGGCAATTGGCAACGTCTTGTCACCCAAGCCTTTTGACATTGATTGCAATACGAAGATGCCGGAAACACTCGATAACATCAGATTGACAAACATGAGAATCTGTCTTACCCACCGAAGCACCCAATCGCAGCGGTAGTCGTGAACCAATGCCAGAATTGTGGCGTTGTGAGTTGCCATCGGAAGCAGGGATAGCATCCAGATGAGGAAGAAGTGGTACGGCACAAGTGTATTCATCTGTGCCAGCCCAACACCCTTGCCAAGTAACGATTAGTAACACATCCAAGATTGTCTGTTATTGCCTTATCGTACCCTGTATGCCTATTCCTTGTAGTATGTATCTGAGAGTCGCTGTAGTCATTCAGTAGCTTCCTCTGAATGGCGGATATCCTGGTTCGCGAGTCCCCCAGTATTACACTAGCAGAAAGAGCGATAGATAGACCGGCCGTTATGATGAATGAAAGTAAGATCTAGATCGGCAATACTCTGCTAACCTGTCTGTAGCCCAAGGTGAAGGTATTTTCAGTCCTGGCCCGATCTACTCACCCCGGCTCCTGCTACACCAGCATTACTGGGCGCTCACTCAGCTGCATCAGTGCAATTGGGAGCTACAAAGAACACCATTTCAAAGAGGTTAAACATTCAAAAAAAAAGATTCTAGTGCTCAATTTGATCTTCGAAATTTAGACGGTCCCATATCTATTGATGACAACAGGAAAGGATGCACCAGATGACAGCAGCTCCGCAGTGAGAGCAAAACACAAAAGAATTTCCTTACACATCATGACGCAACCTGACTTTCAAGATCTCATCATCGACAATTTGAAGTGATTGACAGCAGTATGGAAGGGTTGGCAAGGTTTAAATGGCATTACAGCCGAAGTGGGTGCAGCTTGTCAGACCCCAACCACTCATTAACTGGAAGAGACCATTCTGGTACGCGCAAATGATAGCCGCTCGGTGATAACCAGACGGCTCAAATGCGCGGGACTTTGTACGATCATCACACGTAGTGACAACCATTGTCGTTATGCAGCTGCAGCTATAGCAAAATTTCGTTATCTTTAAAATGCCGTGGGTCGCGTATCTACCGAGCTGATTGATGGGAACATTGAAACTATTGAAAGAAACCAAGTGCATTCACACCATCAAGACCCATCGACGCTTCCATTATTCCCCATAATATACGGTATAAATATCAATAGTGAGTTCATTAAGTCTTTCCGGCGTGGCACAACACTCCGCTGAAGCTCACACACACCCAGACAACCCTTGCCAGCAGCCACTCGGCCACCTTGTGGTGTCATGCCTCAAGATCACAGGAGGACAATACATTCTCTTTGGGCAGACAGTGGGGAGGAAGCGAACTCATCACCGCCAAAGGACCGCAACGCGAGAATTTTACACCTCCCAAATGAGCTGATTTTCGAGATTGCGGGCTATGTTGTTCACGATGACGACCTTAGTTGTCTCGTTCGAACATGTCGTTTCCTCTTTGACTTGCTAAATTCGGAATTATACACACGAAGCTTGCAGCGGGATTACTTTGTGACTTTGTGGGCTGCGAAAACAGGATCCGTGGCTACGATGAAACGAGCACTCGAAATGGGAGCGGACGTCAACGTGAAAGCCAGTGGTTTCATCAAACTGGTGACGGATATTTCACCACACAGACACTCCCCAACGTTTTGTCTTGTCCAAACATGCTATGACATTCACGGAAAGACTCCACTGATATTAGCAGCTGAGGGAGGGCATTTCGACATTATTCGCCTTCTCTTGCAAAAGCCTGATGTCAACATATCTGCTGCAGCTTTTGGTTTGACAGCCACTCATTATGCAGCACTGAAAGGACACCACCGTGTCCTTGAACTGCTTCTCTCATACGGTCCGCTTTCAACCGACTGGTGCTCAGCAGGCCGAACGCCGCTGCATCTTGCCGCCGCCAATGGCTATGAGAAAGCTGTTTCTTTACTGCTGGACAAGTTGCGTCAACGCTTATTCCACAGATCCATGTGGCCTCACCGCACTTCATTTAGCCGCCAGAAAGGGACATGCAAGGACTGTGAAGACTCTCTTGATGCACAGTGTCGCCGACATCAATGCGAAGGATAGGCACGGCTACACTCCGCTTCATTTAGCTATAAGGAATCGACATATGTCAACCATTGAGGTACTCTTGGATCACGACCAGCCAAACTGTTTCTCCAAGGCCCGACAAAGCCCCATGTCCTTCCACATGCTGTCAAGGTTAGATTTGGCGCGACGGATGACGACGTATCATAACCAGACAACACGCTCTTCAAGTTTGTGAACAAGAGCCGGGTGAATTGCGTAACAGAGTGAGATTGTGCCCCAGAAAAAGAAATTCGAGCGGTTCCATATATTTATTTGTGTTTGTAATTATTGTAAATATTAATATTAAGCTGTTAGGTCTACAGTATGTTTTGTATCAATGTGGCAATGGCCTCATGACACTGAACAGCAATCCAGCTGTTATACGCTAGAAATGGCGTGTGGCATTGGCCGCCATGAAGGAGATGCAAAAGCCATCTTTGGCCGTTTAAATACGTGTCAACCAGCAAGTAGGCATCAAGTACAGTATGGGTGCCAATGTTCCGAAAGGTCAATCCGGCATTTCTGGAACTTCTTCTGACAGGGGTGCCCGCCGTTTCCCGCATAATAGAGACTGAGCTATCAGAGACTCGGTATATTATTTCTTCCTCCAGCAACACAACGACTCGACCAAGGCAAATGGAACCAACCATGGAAAGGCTCCTATAGCAACAGTGTTCCCAAATTCATCTCAGATTCCAGTCACTGACCATTTGACTCAAACGCCGACAATCAGCCTGAGCGCACAGGGTTAGCTGCAGAACCATGTGAGAGAGTGAGTGACCAAGGCCAGGGTTAGCCATGAGGTTGCAGGGTCAGTTGAGCTCTCGAGATATGCAAGAACTAACACGACACTAGGGAGCGAGACCGAGCAGGGGAAGAGAAAGACTTCAATTCTGAGATAGTCACTGGACGACATGAACATGTTTGGAATGAAGAGTATCAGGTTGGATTACTAGCCGCCTTAATCTTGGTTCAACATCAAAGGAATATGCAAACCTGGCGGCGAACAGCCAGACGCTCTGCCCTTCTTGAGCGGACAACGTACAGGACTTCCATTAACCGCTCCGGGTCAACCCGGCAGACCCTATTCTGACGTTGTAAGGTGAACTTATATCAATATGAACTGATTCTATTCGGTGGGAGGCGGTGGCATGTACCACTGTTTATCGTTATGGCTTTAATGAACATTAAAAGCGAAATCTTGGCAAGTTCAGAACGAGGCTTCAAGCTTTAGGCCATAGCCTGCGTCAGAGCAGCTCAGGTTCACAAGGCAGTTAGGACTGCCCGGAGGAATGTCTGGTCAAGCGCTTCGACCAGCTCGCACTCGGGAATGCGGGATATTTCCTGCGTGAGGGGCTCGTGAACAGAAGACATTCCTAGTACTCTGTAACGTATTGCGGCATCCCGACCCCGGGAACACAATTCAAAGAGCAATTCCTCTTGGCCACCGGTAATTATTATTGACACTCGCGCACTGCCCAGTTTTAAAGTCTGCATGGTCTACCGTCTATTTATTAAGCCCTAAAATTCCATATCTTTTTCAGAGATTATCAGCTCGCCCCTCTCCAATAGCTGGTTTGCCAATGTGTCCACCACCTCGCCATCCAGTTTCGTCGCGGCATGATTTCAGACAAATCCGACTTCGTAGCCGAATGTGCTTCAGACATGCTGTCTATTATCGCCTTCATAGTGATACTTATTCCAAGCCTTCCATCTGTCCTTGTCCGCCTTTGTTAGCTCCTGAAAAGGGGCAGCAGTGTAAGAAATAAAGCAAGAGGGAATCCGCTTTCTTCATCTTTCATTTCCACTTACTCTCATAGTCTGGCCTCCCCACATAATGGTAGGTGGGCTTCTGCACCGGGAATCATTCAAGAGAGGTTCGAAGCCGTATGAAGTGGCAATAGTAGGTGTCGTCATACGTGTTGACGCATGTTCAAGCACCTCTCACGACAAACTATGTTCCTTAGTATGTCCTTGCCGATATTGCAAAAGGAGATCACTACTTTTACGGTATCACAAATTTAGATGCACGCCAAGTACTCTCGAGGCAGTGGTGAAACTGCCGCAGCGAGTATTGCAGACGTTATTTGACAAAATTTGCCGTTACTATGTTTAGTCACAGCTCTGGAGCCTCCTCTAGCAGTTGATATATACCCGGTTTGCCGTAACCGTCGGCAACAATAGGACAAGAGATATCTAATCTGATGCTTAACAATGGAGAGAGGTATAATAGCAGGATGCCAGTAAAGGTCGCAGTAATCTCTAAAAATTGCGAGGCCAACTTTCTAAGCCTACCTAGAGAGATACTCTTCGAGATAGCGGAGCATAGTTTCCGTGACGATTACCTCAATTGCCTCACTCGAACGTGCCGGCCCGTCTTTGGTTTGCTCCATCCAGAATTATACTATACAAGCGGAGCTGCAACGAAGACAACCTTGCGATATTGTAGGCTGCGGAAATGGGCTCCGCGGTCACAGTGGAAATATCAATCAGAAGGGGCACAGACATTGACGTGGAGGCTCGCAGCTTCATCAAATTAGTCACTGACGTTTCGTTACGCCGACGCTCGCCCACTTTTAGCCTCGTCCAGACTTGCCACAGCATTCACAAGAAGACACCGCTAATTTTGGTGGCTGAGGGAGGCCACAACCGCGTGCTTCGACTTCTGTTACAAGATGCCAACTTCAAGGCTTCGGGTTCAACAGCAATTCATTTGGCTACGCTCAACGGTCATGCTGCAGCAGTTGAACTACTTCTCCCCCACGACCCGACCTGGTTTGTCAATTGCGCTACCCGGAATCAGACTCTTTTACGTGTTGCAGGCAGCAATGGCCATGTCGAAGCTGTTTCACTGCTGTTAGACAGGAACGATATTGATGTGGATGCATAAGATGCCTGTGGACTCACAGCGCTTCATTTGGCCGCCAAAACTGGACACGCATCGACTGCAAGGACCCTTTTGGATCACGAGAACATTGCTGTCACCAAAGCGGATGGACGCGGCAACACTCCGCTGAATTGGGCCATGAGGGATCTACATTTGTCAACTGTCGAGATGTTTTTGGGCCACAGTCGTACCGATGTCAACATCCAGGATCAACATGGTTTGCAGCCACTGCACTTGACCGCCAGAATGAACTTGTAGTTAGCACCCGCCGATGTGGGAGCGAGAGCATTCCGTATAGTGCATATAGTTTGAGACACCGCCCACATGGTAGCTTAGCATGACTAAATCGAATGCCTGCATTCCAAAGGCGGTTGTAATTTATCTCCAACCTTTCATTTCTGCGTATGTTTCTATAAAATGAGCCATTCTGTAACCATGATAGTACATAGATGCCGATCATTCTCATACTTGTTTCATCAGAATTTGCCAGATTAACACGCACAGAACGCGCAACGGTATTTTATTTGACATGGTAAAATTGTAGGCGTCCGCAGTCTGAGGTATGAACCGGCTACCTCTACTTGCCCAGTGTAACGGACCAAGCCGCTTGAACGACGGCTGTGCCGCCTATCACTAACTCCCGCGGCGGGTTGACTCTAGAACCTTCTGTGGAGGTGTATGGGGAAGATATAAGGCGCTATTATTGTGCCACGGAGTATGTAGACTTTCTTTTCTTCTTCATCTTGATAGTAAACAGCTTAGGGACTAGCTAGTTGAATCAACTCGCTAGAGGCCTTTCACACCCAGAACACATCAAGACTACCGTAACTTCATGGTATTTCAGCATTAACAACATATCTCCAGACCCATGTGGCTTGGAACTCATACTACTTACTATTGTCTGACGACTTGCTGGCCTTAGACTGAGCTTTCTATTCCGAATTGTATGTCGGCAATAGACAGACTCAGTGCGTTGCGGAGGCGGGCATGCCTTTTTGCGAGCCCACCTGAGGTTGCTTGTCCCAGCATATTTAAAAGAATGTTCACGGTGGTCGCTGTAGAAGAATTTTGTTAGTTGAACGGGCTGGGTAAATCAGAGGAACACCTACAGTCCATACAACCGAATCTCTTCCAGGTCATCGGATGCGGACCGCCCAAAGAAACGGGTTTCATGGTGGTCGCTACATCGCTTTGCTGAGCGATCTCTGCTTCGGGGCCCCTACAGCGGCTGGTTGAGCCTGTTGACCGCCTGAAGTCCATGGACATAACAGGAAACCCTGCCCTCGTTACATTGGGAATCTCCAGTAGTGGACGAGATTGCCTCAATGCCTGCAAATTAGTCCTGATTTTAGACACTTCTCGAGTGAGGTCCTCGACCTGTTTAGAGATAGTGTCAATCGTATGCTGCATACGGCTGATGTCATGAGAACCCGGCGACTCCGCCCATGACGAGGTTTGGAGAGCAAGTTGACTTAGAATGTTGGAAATGACATTCATATCGGCCCTGCATGTCGTCGTCGGATTTCACAGATGCATTTCTTCTCTTGGTACGCTTGGCAGTTGATGCCGTTGTCGTCACCATGCTGTCTAGAACTCCTGGTGGTCTGGTACAATTCTGGGTGAACTGAGCAAGGCAACGGGCCGGAAGACTTACTCACGCGAGGAGTACAGTACTAACCAACAGTATAAGTAGATTGAGGTGTTGTGTGTGCAGTATCCTGTCGTTGCCTACTTAAAATGGCGTCTTGCTTCTTGCTTAGCACCCTAAACGAATCGAGCATAACTGCCTGCATGTAACCTGCGTTATATCCACCTACACCCTCGCGAGCAGCAGATGTCCTCTCAAAAAGAGTGTGGTAGCTGTTGTCTATTCTTTCGTGCAATTTCATGGTCAGGAAATTTGCCAACATATTTATGTATGCTAGTATAAGACGCAGAAAACAGTCACTCCGTGTTGACCGCCGGCCGGTCAGGTCGTCTTCCTGCAGAGCCTGATTATTGAAATAAAAATGGGACACAAGTATCATTGCTAGGAGCTATAGTTACTACACAAATGGATAGAGGCATATCTCTTTTTGCGATCCAGCCATGTAGCATATAAGTTGCCCGAAATCTCAACCAAGGCCATTCAGCGGAGTCCCCATTCTTCATTAGGTTACTATACTTTCCCGGGTAATAGTTGTGGTCGTCAAAGGTCTTGCGGGCAAAAGAAGACGAAGAAAACTGAAACAGGTGATGACATCCTCTACCCTTGAATGTAGTGCTCGGACAACAAGACAAGAAAATTCTAACAAGACTTTGTGAAGGATTGCTGTTATAACTCTGTCCCTAGTGTCACAGCACCATCACGACTTGTCTAAGACACTCACATGAGCACAGACCATTAGCGCACCATAAAGCTGTAGTCTAGATAGCTTCCTCTTCCCTCCTCCTTAAGGCACAACTACGTTACTACTAGCACCTTAGATTCGCCCCGTGATACCTAGGATGAATCTGTCAGCACATGACGAGAAAGTGTTAATGACGGTCTGGAAAAGAGTCCATAGGCTTGACCTGTGCCTGTTCACTCTCTGCGGTGCTGGATTCGGCTGGAGCACGGTGATTGGGATCATTCCCGTGTAAGCTTACCAGCCATAGTCATTATGCATGGCGTTATACTCTGATGATATTATAAAATAGGGTCGGAGACGTCATCGATGGATTACTCTCGCTGTCCGTGGTCCGAGAGTGCTGGAAGATTGAAGGTGGCCTCCCCGCTTTGACAAAGTTGAAAATGGTTGGTAACGTTGCTCTTGATTTTGCCATCGGGCTTTGTCCTCCCGCCCAGGGTCTATACAGGAGCAATGTGCGAAATGTACTTCTTCTTGAAGACTTTTTGCAGACACCCGCCAAGTCTAAGCTTGTCCAAGGCAACAAAACCGAACTTTTAGCCCATCGCCACTCCGCTGTTGGTAGCTTGACTGAAAGACGCCGCAGTGGGCGACGGAGATTACCAGCGATGGTTTTTTCAGCGCTTGTTACACATCTCAAAATTTTCAAACATAAGTGTCATTCGCTTAGACGGCGTTGCTTACGTGATAGGCAAGCAATTCCTTCTTAACGAGTTGAGCTGGAAGTTCTGAAAATTTGACGGGAACACCATCCCAACTAATTTTAGCTGAAGTTAGCTCAAACCTCCCTTTGAGTATTTAGAACATGTTGGCAGAGAGTCGGTTACAAACAAACACCGAAGGACGCAATATCGGCAGGGGGCGGTGCTTCAAGATGTGATTTACTTCTCCTTTGATTTCTACTCGTGTATTATTAATATATTCATACAGTACAAGCTCACCTCAGACGGTCTGGCTGACGATCGAATTGGAACACGTCAATCCGTCAAAAGCAATGCTCTAAGAAATATGGAAAGCGGCACAGAAAATATTCAGTGAAGTTGTGCCGTGAATGTATGACTTATTTACGCCCGAATTTGCCCGCAAGATCTGTTTCTGCCAATCAAATGCCGACTCCTTAGTCTTTCTCACTGAGGCAAAAGTATCGGGGAAGGTATCTCCATCCATCGTCTAACCATTTCTTGCCTGTGCCCCCATCGTCAGTATGCAAAGGAAGCAAGTAGGAAAGGAGAGGTTACTTCCACTTACGGTTGCATCTGGACTACTTTTATCTTTTTTGCCTCACAAAACATCTTAAACTGCCGTACGACCGCGACGCTCGACAATGTTAGCATTACCTCCCTTTGAGGCTGACCATTTATTGTGTAGTGCGTGGGATCAATTTGGCTCATTATAAAATTTACGCGCCACGCGTCCGCGCTCCACCTGACCTCCTCGATTTCCCTCAATGGAATACCGAAGTCACTATTCTTGGGCCAGTCTCCCCAGATCTCCTCGGGCTCTGATTGTGTCAGTACCTGTAGCTTGAATAGTTTCTCACCTGGCACCCATCTAAGGCACTGTTGACGAGAAGCATCACTTCTGCATAGTGTTGTCTTGATTTGGTAAACGGTCCACTTGGCGCCACAGCCATGACGAGTCCATTCGCAATTGCCGCACTTTGATGCTTTTCCGTCCAGAATAATGCACTCCTCAAACGGGCCCTGGCCTGTCTGGCACCACGAGCACTCTCCCTGCAATATTTTACCTCCCGCTTGAATTAGACAAGCAAGGAGTCTGGAACCTTTTGGATCAGACTGGTTGCACACCTTGGCTAGTTGTTGTTCCGTAAAGGTCCGACGTGGCCGAATTTTCACGTCTCTTATGACTGGAATTTGCAAAATCTCAACGACAGAGGAGCTCCAAGGGTCCGGTCTCTTGATACTCTCAATAATTTTTCCGTCGACATCGGTGAGGTTGAGCAAGTGGTGCTCGGAACTGAGCACCGGGTCATTGCGCGCAGTTATGGAGCGCCCCGTGGACGGGGACACGTGGGATGCAGCCGTCAAGTCTTGGTCGCTGCTGTTGTTCTCTTCGTCATTCTCACCGACGCCATCGTTGCTAGATGCCTGCTGCGGAGACCTGTGAATGAGCCACAGCAAATTCGGATGCCCACGACAGAAGAATCGACTATAGTATTCGCCCTGCCTTTTGTCCTGGCGGTCGATGGCTCGCATTGAGCAGTCCGATAGACCGACACGTTTCTGAAACCCGTACAGGTTAAGCATCCTGACAAACGACGTGTAGCTGTTGTGTTTGAATGCTTCTGGGATGAGTGTTTTCGCGAGGGCATTTTCGTCAAGGATAAGGATCGAGTCTTCATTGTCGGACCAGCGAATAATGTGCTCGTTTTTCTTTGATTCCAAAAAGCTGAATGTCCGAGTCAGCAGAAGTTCGACATCTGTCCCTATAAAATTCACCTCTGACAGAAATCAATTTACGTGCTCACCGGCAAAGTTTTTGAATAAATGGAGGAAGCTGTCTCCCCTGGCTAAGCGCCTCCTTTTTCACCTTTACCGCAGTGTTCTCTAGTGCCTCGACGTCGTCTTGTCCATTCACCTGTCGTTCATCGCCTTGCTGCAGATCAACATGACCGTTCTGTATCGCTACCCTAGGCTCCTCTAACGAGTCAGGGTTTGGTCCGTCCGCAGGGCTGCCATGAGTAATCAAAGAGACCTCGTTTTCATTCTGGTGGTTGAACTCATGGGAGTTGCTCGCATGCTCAAATTGCGGCCGGGAGGAGCTTGTTTCGGTCGGCGTTGTCTTTTGACGTTTAGACTGAGCCCTCGTGATGTAGCTGGAGCAATCGACGCCCGGGCTTTCTGTGACCGATCTAGTTGCCGCTGATGTAAGTCCTGCAGTCACTGTACTTTGGCTACTTCGGCTATTCTGGGAACCCGTCAACATCAAGCAGCACAATTAGCAATCCAGGTAATTCTCACTTCCTTGGCAACACCGGGCTCCGTGGCGACTTGCATAGAGTTTCCTTCGGCAGAAGACTCCTCAAAACCATCGCATACATCTTTTGGGAGATAGTTTTTAAATTCTCCTGGCGATTCTCGTGCGATGCTCTCCAATGTGGCCCTAACCATCACTGGACCCATTGTCTTTATGAGTCTGCCGCAAAGCTGTAGTAAAACGACATCCACTTGACGCTCATACTCTTCATTAGCCACCACAAGACCCTTCTGGTAGTCATAGTCGAGGGTTCTTAAACTCTTTGAGTGTTGCAATAAAGTCTCTTTGAAATGGGATC